TTCAAAAAGAAAGGAGTTGCTAATAATGATGCGCGCCTTTTTTGTAAATCAGTCATGTTCTACATTTTGTTTTCTCTTTTATTTTATGCAATAAGTTCACTTTCTTTCTTCTCTGTTAGATAATTTCAATCTATTAATATGAAACTTTATTCAAACGCAGAAAATTTTCTTGCCAAACTTCTCTTTCCTTTTTTCTATATCTCTCTGTTCAACTAATACTCATCTCAGAAGAATCTGAAAAATGCCTTCATGAAAGAAAAACAAGAGAATCAGAGAGGAAAGGTACAACTGTGAAAACCAACGATCAGATATATTCGAGAATTAAGACTAGTAAAATAATGGAACATTCGATGTCACGATTAATGTCCTTAATCATTATCGATACGAATCACTATATCATCACATTTTAATGCAAACAGTATGGTTATTATTGAAGAGTACCAACCTATCATGTTCACTTTCTCTAATAAAATACTTTTCTCCTCGATTAAACTATCATAAATCTCATTGAGATAACAATAAGTATCTTTTTTCAGACTTCTGATGTGATAATTATTCTCTATATTTCATCTCGCTTACGTAATTTCTTCTTACTTCCAATATAGAGCAAATAGTGTACCCATAAATTTTTTAAAACTTTGATTGGTGATGTACTCTTGCTGGAAAAACACTGGTCTTATTTTTACATTTCTCAGAACAAGAACACTTTAAACAAAAAAATGCATAAATAAATTCAAAGAGAAATTCCATCTACTTTACGAAAGAGATCAGTGAGTGAATTAATCATTACTGTATTTTATAGAAATGAAAATGTGATTGAAATGAATAAGCACTAGATGATGACTTAAAAGAATATGATTTTTACTTGTTTGCACTGATACATTATGATAATAATAATAATAATAATAATAATAAGTGACAATCCGCAATGCTCAATGACTTTATTTCATCTTTATCTCTCTTTCTCCTTGCCTTTAGTAGAAACTTCTAGTATAGATACTCTCACGATTTAAAATATTCAAAAGTTGCGCTATAGTTTATCAACCCGAGTTACGAAACTTCGCAGATACGAGAAACGTCGAAAATTTTAATGCATATTCCTCGAATTAAATTCGACAATATTTTCTCCTTGTATATAAATACATTTATTTTCCGATAACATCAATTACTGCCTATCATATTATATCTTCTACATTTAAGTCATACATAAATATCAGATGAGAAATATTTTGGAAGTAGTAAAAATTTATATTAAACTGATATTGATGAACGAGTAACTTGACAAATGAACTCTTTAGTAATCGTTATTCAAAATCTTTTGTTTTGATGCCGACCACTAGCTTTGTCTAGAGGATATGACTATGATATAAACCATTCGATCTTTAACTAATTGGTTTTTTTACCATGGTTACCTTCATTTCTCTTCGAATCCAATCAATCGATTAAGAGAGTGTGGGGATCAAAAATGAGTAGAAGATTGATTACGTAAAACTTTAAAGACCCATTCCACCAGCAAATCGCGTGCAGTGACGAACAGAAGAAAAAAAACGTGTCAAGAAAAGGAAGAAACGTTTGCTGCGAAAAGTAGTTCAAAAAAGTTTTACTGATCACTCGGAAATAATCCTCGCTCACATTTTAGTACAATACTCAGTTTTCCATGCTCTTTCTAATGGTGTAATTTTTAGCTTATATGAACTTAATCAATATTTTGAATCACGTTGATATGTATTTTGATTCCTTCAATTAGAAGTGTCTTTCTTACTTTCCGTCTTCAGCTTGTGTCAGCAGTAGAGCATCGCAGCATCGAATATATTAATTTCTTGATTTTTCTGTTCGTTGACTGGTTTATTGATCATCGAAAATCACAAGGATATCTTGTTTTTGAGGTATTGCATTAATTGAAAGAAAGAGTAAAAGAAATTTCTTTTCTTTCATTCTGACTTAACATGAAAGCTCTGCAGATTTGAAATCAAAACATCACCCTTTCGAGTGACGCAGAGAGTTACTTTTATTGTTGAAGAGAAAAAACAAATTTTTTTCTTGTGTTATTGTATCATTGGTTAGAGACACACATAATATGATTTTTCTTCCAGTCTGAGTCAGTGGAAAATTTCACGAAGTCCAAACTGGATAAGCAATCTCTAGTTAGGAATAGAAATATTTTTGCAACAGAAGTGTTATAAAAGTGAGCGTTAAGATTCACAGTCATTCAGGTGTTTCATCAATTGCGAATTGACAAGACTTAAAGGTAAAGAGCGAAACAAAATTCCTCCTCTATTTTAAGTGGAAAGACTTTTTTCTACTGGAGTTTCACTAACAAGCTAGATTCATAGTCATAGTCGTAAGCTTTCAATGCAGAAGACAATTGTTTTGGGGTTTTTATTCTCATATAATTTATTTTTGAAGAATAACTAACTTAGTAATCTAGTTGGTAGCATCTAGAGCTTTCAACGCTTAGATAAACACACCGAAAAACCATCAGTCATATCCTAGTCTCTGAAACTGAAAAGCTACCTGCAAACGTTTGCTTAAGTCAAGACATTCAAAATACTGTAGTTTCTATATTTGGAATGGCATAGCAGCTGAGTATAGTTCTACCTCTTCTCACTAAACGAGAAGTCTCGTCATATTAGAAGACCCTCTGGTGGTCGATTTTTTTAGAATTTCTGTATACGAATGTACCGAGCCCGAGCCTCTCGGTCTCGCCCTTAGTCATTGTCAAACGCGGTATCGTTGTGGTCTGAGCATCGAGAACTAGTTATTGATCTCAGTGAGGGTGTGGGTGTGGGGTGTGGGTGTGGGTGTGGGTGG